TAGCATTTGATTTTGACTTAAAAAATCGATCATAATAATACAATGTAATTGTTTATTGTGAATCCCTATATCTCCTTTTAAATATAAAGATTTCAAAAATTCAATAACAAGCGCATTAGAAGATCCATGAATGTGCACAACATCTACGCCTCTAGCGTCTACTAAATCGAAAAGTGGTGTATCGATATCCGTATTAAGATATGTAATCAATTCAGCGACCGCCTTACAAAAAAATATATCCTCCCATTCTTGTGGCAAATCTCTTAACGGAGAATAATAAATTTCCGAAACATCATTAGCTTTAAAGGCAGTATGAAAAGAATCAGATTCCTTTGATGGCGGTCCTATCACATAAACTCGAATAGAATAAGGTTTTGGAGGTTCCGAGTTCATAACATCAGGGTTATCGGTAATGTTCCACCAAAAACTGTTAACCATAAATTTCATAGGATGCCGTTTGCCATATCTATCTCGAACTTGCACCTCCAATTGAGCGAATTTCTGAGTTTTAAATAAATTCCTCAAATAACTATAATAAGGTAATATTACGTTCACTGCATATGTTCCATTATTTGCTTGTGCTTGTGCTAACCCTGTTACTATCTGACCCATGCTACCCAACGTTGCTGGTCCAAATTCTTTACTAACATGATAAATTGTCGTTCCATTTGGTAGTTTATCTGGTACATTTGGATCCAATCCAAGATACGGTACCGGACCATATGTTTGCTTTTCTAAAAATTATTATATTTTTTTTTTTTTAAAAAAAAAAAGACAAATTTAATTAATAACTGATTTTATAATAATATTATATATATATGTCTATTCTATGCCATCGGATATGATATACCATAAAAGAATAAACGATAAACCGTACCTAATATAAGCTTATCATTTTCCCACAATGAACCTAATATAGTAATAGCAGCTTGAAATAAAGTAAGACCAAATAGTAATAAAATAATAAAGGAAACCCATCTAAATCCTTTTTTCTCAAGCAAAGGTCCCAATAAAGGTATTCGATAACCTATTCTAACCGAACGTTGAAAAAAATTAAAATGCATTTCTTTTTTAGAAGAATGAAAGGAATTTAAAAGAGATGGAACTCGAATATTTGGTGAAACTGATCTTGACCTCGGTTTCATATTAAAAATATTAATACTTAAATATAGAAGAATCAAAAATCAAAAATAGCATTACAATTTTAATTGTTCAGCATGGGATAATAATCACGTTTCTAAATTATTCGTGCGACAAATAAAAATAAATGTCGCACATGAGATGGCGACTGTCAACGCCCGTAAAATCACCGAAAAGGAATAAAATCACTACTTATTATTGAATTGTCTCCTGATGGAGATTAGTTAAATATCCAATTATGGAATCTAGGTTCAAAATACATACGTCAGCTTTATGCCAAAAAAAAAACTATAAAAGCAGATCGATTAGCGTTCAACAATTGGGGCATTTTGACAGTTTTTTGACAGTTGTTCTGCTATGTCTCGAGATTTAACACTTGAATTACAATCCATTCGCGATGGAAAAGCTTCTATCGAACATCAAATCGATATTCATGGTAATACATACATTATTTGTATCATATCATTTTATTATATCTGGTAGTTAATCACTAAATTCAATATATCGATTCAGTAAACGACCTTTTTGGAGTCAAAGAAAATCAACAACTATCTCTCGAAGATGTACTTGCAGGATTACGTTATGTCATGGATTACCGCCTTAAAGGCGGTAGACTTCCGAATTTGGAACTTGATCTAATGAAACGTTTATGTGAAGGTTTATTATTAAACATGTCCTATTCCGAAGGAGGATTACTTAAACGTAAAATGACAACAGAGGCCAATGAGGCCTTTATCCTTTTCGGCGAATTCCTTGAAGAAGGTATTGGGCATTTTTCACTTTTATTTCTGTAGTTGAACACTTGATGAACTCATCGGGCAACTTTTTCGTATCGATCCACAATTTTAATAGTGGAAGAATTTCGTACGGCTGTCGGTGAAAAGAATATATCTGATCTATACAATGCACTCAAACTGCATCGTCGATGTCGCAAAGATGCAGATCCGGAAGTAAAGCAGGCTGCTGTTGCTATAATTTATATGTTGACCGAATGGTTTCCTCAATTTTCGGATTGGCATGAATTGGTTAAAGAAGAAGAACAAAGTGATGTAGACAAGGTCATAAAGGAACTTACGGATACGATCAAAAAACCTAAAATGCCACCACTTCAGGGAGTCGCATTACCTCCACCTTGTAAGTAAAATTATTAAGTAAAACTATTAGTCAGTGCTCTAATCACTAATGTGTGTATTGTCAAATACTTAGCCTTGTATTTTGATCGTGATGTCACTCGATTACTGAAAATGTTTCGTACTTCCCTTACGGATGGCCTGTCATCAACTCTCATCGAGGGACTATTGAACCATTATGGACCAAATAAACTCCCGGAACCACCAAAACCTTCGATATTTATGATGATACTTAACCAATTAAAGGACTTCATGGTTTTGATCTTGTTGGCTGCAACCGTTGTATCCGCAGCAAAAAAAGACTTTAAAGGAATGTCTGTTTTGCTGTTTGTAATCGTCCTTAACACGATAATAGGGTTTATACAAGAATATAAGGCAAATAAGGCTTTGGAGGCCCTACAGAAGTTAACAGTGCCAAAGGTGAGAAGAATTGAGTAATTTGGTCGCGTTCACACGTGTTATCTCTATTTAACCAAAGAACCATTATTAAGGCACAAGTGATCCGTGACGGTGAACAAACAATCGTCGATTCCTTCCAACTTGTTCCAGGTGATATTGTCGTCCTTGATGAAGGTGATGCTGTTCCTGCTGATGTGAGGATTGTTGAAAGTTCTCATCTCCAAGTTATTGAATCCATTTTAACCGGTGAAAGTCTTCCCGTGCATAAAACTGTTAAGAAAATTTGGACAAGTGTAAGGATATATTTTATCTAACTTTATTCTATCCATATTTATTGGTCCAAATTACTAAACATGATAAATCATAGACTAGAAATCTTCCGTTGGGTGACTGTAAGGGCAACGCATTTATGTCCACAGTTGTTGCAAAAGGACGCGGCAAAGGTCTTGTTGTTCGTACTGGATACGATACAGAAGTAAGAAATATTTAAAATTAAGAAATCTAAAAATGTTTAATCATTCTAATTTTCAACTTTCGCCAAAAGGTTGGTAAAATCAGTGCTGCCATTACGTCAGTACCAAAGACTAAAACTCCAATTCAACGCAAGTTGAATAGACTTGGACAATGGCTCGTTGTTATTGCAATATTATTGTGTATCTTGATTGTTGTCATTGGTATCGTATATAAGCACAATGTAGGAGACATGATTACCATTGGCATTACGTATGTGGTATTCTTATTTAACTATCGTTCTTTTTCTGAAATAAGTAAGGTCTAAATGTTTTTTTCATTTATTTAAGTTTGGCTGTCTCCGTAATCCCCGAAGGTTTAGTAGCCGTAACAACCGTCACAATGGCTATTGGTGTTCGTCGAATGGCTAAGCGTAGTGCCATCGTTCGAACATTACCTGCAGTTGAAACTTTGGGTAGTGTTACTGTTATTTGTTCCGACAAAACGGGCACTCTAACCGAAGGAAAAATGGGACCAAGCGAGATGTGGACAGCTGATGATTCATTGTATTCTTTCACTGAGCCGGCCTCATTAGATCCAAATGTTGGTGGTATATTGTTCCTTTCAAAGGAATATCGAAACATAATTCTTAAGAAAAGTCGAACCTCTTCAAATTCATTGGCTTTATCTGAAAAGATAGACCAAAAAGCATTAAAACCTCAAAAGATACCGAAAAGTTCCTCAAACCCTCCTGTTCATATGATGACAGCACTTATGATTTCTTCTCTATGTAACAATTCTTCTGTAACAAAAGATGATGATGGTGAATGGAAAGGCATTGGAGATCCTACCGAAGTAATTATACAGTATATGATTTTTTAATATATTTATAAACACAACTAATATTCTTTTAATATAAAATTCAGGTTGCTTTAGTTCTTGCAGCCCAAAAAGGAGGCTTTGCCAAGAATTATTGGGAAAGGGAGCGCGGTTTCACCAAAGTTCACGAGAAACCTTTTGATAGTGAAAGAAAACTTATGAGTGTTGTATATAAGATTACAAATCCTAACATTTCAGCAGAACATTTAAATCTTGTAATGGCGAAAGGAGCACCGGAAGCATTACTTCGTAAATGTACACATCATTTACCGAGCGTTGAAACTTCAAGTACTATCGATCCTCTTAATGCGATCCTTGGGCAACAGGAGGGGTTTCAACTTAAAGAGTTAAATGATGACTTTATTGATCATGTATCAGAACAAAGCTCAAGAATGGCATCACAAGGGTTGAGAGTTCTCGGATTAGCTTTCAAATCTGTATCTATGAGTGATTGTTTTTCAATTACTACATCTTCAGAAGATGCGATAGTTGGAGATTCCAACGAATCTGAAGAAAATCCTGCATCACCTACTGTTAATCCATTGTTTGCTGAAGATAATTTAACTTTTGTTGGGTTGATCGGATTAATTGACCCGCCTAAAAAGTCAGTTGCTGAATCCGTTCGAAAGTGTAAGAAAGCCGGTATTAAAGTTGTTATGATAACCGGTGACCATGTTGCTACTGCTACAGCAATAGCAACCGATATTGGTATCATTGTACCTGATGAGCCGAATATGGTATATACTTTATTATTTTTTTCTGCGCATTGTGGTCCTGATTTAATCGTAACTTGCTTTGCATTATAATATGCAGAATCGTGCAATTCGTGGTGCTGAGCTGGATCTTTTATCAGATGAAGCGATTGCAGAATTAGATCCATTTCCAAATGTTTTCGCTCGCGTCAGGTATGTAATAATTACATCAATTGTTAATATTTTCTCTGTTATCTTAAATTTATATCCTCTTTCTTATAGTCCTGACAATAAACTTAAAATTGTCAAAGCATTACAAAACATGGGTAATTCAGTAGCTATGACCGGTGACGGTGTAAATGGTATGAACATTAAATAATTTTACATTATAGATACTATAATGTGCTAAGCTAAATAATTTAAATTGATAGATGCTCCCGCAATAAAAGCCGCGGATGTGGGTGTTGCGATGGGAATCAGTGGCACAGAAATCACAAAACAAGCAGCAGATATCATTTTGGCAAATGATGATTTCTCAACAATTGTTGCTGCAGTTGAAGAGGGTCGACAAGTTTTTGACAATATTCTCAAATTTATTGTATATCTTTTAAGTTGTAATGGTGCCGAAATTATTCTAATGTTGCTTTGTGCTGCAATCAATATCGAATTACCATTTACAACGATTATGATATTATGGGCTAATATCATTGGTATTGTATTTGCTATTTCATATATTGTTAATGTACGACGTTATCATATTAATTTATACCTTTTTTGTTGTCTCCGTAATAGCTGATGTTCCACCTGCAATTTCACTTGGCGTTGAACCGGCTGAAAAAGATATTATGCAACGAAAGCCAAGAAGTCCTAGTGCACCTGTTCTTAGTAAAATTGCAACAACAATACTTTTTATGCAATCTTTTACTATGGCATTGTTGCCGTTTGGAGTTTATATGCTTGCAATGAACCAACAACATATTGAACCGGAAAAAAAAGTAGAAGATGCAAGGTCATTAGCATTTACTACTTTAATATCAATGCAACTTTTTCAAGGTTTCTTATCAAGAACATTAAATGAAAGTCTTATTAAAACTGGAATATTTGGTAATAAGGTATGTAATAACGAGATGATTTTATTTTTTTAACATAATATATAATTGCAAATTTTTATTTTTTATTTTTATTATGTAGTGGATGTTCGGATCTGTATTTGGGTCAATACTTTTAATGCTTATTGGTGTATATGTTCCAGGTAAATGAAATAACAGTTTATTTAAACATATACAGAATATATAATCTTTTAACATTGTTTTGATTAATTTTAGGAATCAATAAGTGGTTGCAACTCACACCTGTTCCACCTTTTGGTTGGGTTAAAATTGTAATATGTTGTATTATTCAATTAGTTGTTAGTGAAATCGGTAAAGCATTAGGAAGGAGATATAGGGATTCACA